TCTGCAGTGAGTTTAAAACATCTTCATGTGAGAAGGCAGCATTTGTGCTGCAACTAATGCCTTCAGACATATATGAAGCTGTATGTGCAAGAGGCCTCAATGTGATCTGGCACTAATGAGCATCGAGGCCCACAATGCATTATATTAACTCGCACAACTCAAGTGTTCGGTGCCTCTAACAATAACCAGATCAGGATTCTCTCTAATTATATCTCAGCGCGATGAATGGCTGACACCCTGTTCTCTGGCCCTCCTCGGTTCTCTCCACCAGGCTGTTATCATCCGTTATATATTCATAATTTATTGTTTCCTCTCTCTGCTGCATTTGATGTGAACCAGAACTGCCAGAACATCAGAACAACCTTTCTGTCCATCTGTCTTTTTCTTTTTTTCTCTTTCCTTTTTGAGATTTCACAAGCCTGACAACTTCCAGTTTTGACTAATTGAAACCACAAAGCCGTTCTTTCTAACGCTGACCGTCATGTTTTTTGTCCTGCGAGCCATCCAGTGATTCATCACAGCTAATTTTGTGGTGATTTATTGACAACAGACTGCCACATTCTTTGTAAACGTTCAGCCATTATACGATAATGATTGTATGAGCATGTTAAGATGTGTGGAGACGGAACAAGAGAGCCTAATTTTGTTTGTGTTATCTATGCTACAATTATTTTAGCATTTTTTTACTCATTTGTGAAGCTTCGTCTTGTCGTCAAAATGTCACCGGTTAGACAAAGAGCGAAGCTGGGTCTAATCTGTGAGATCATAAATGAAGGCAAAAAGTGTTTGTCTTTGTCTTTGCATACAGCACCCTGTGGATTGGACGGTTTGCCATATCTGTACCTAAAAATATGCATAAATGCTCTTCTGCAAAGGCCAAGCACAGTCATATAACAATCTCTCATGTGTCTGCTGTATCAAGAAGACTTAAGGCTTTAACTCAATGCGTTTATATCATATGCCAGCATAGTCTCTTTCTTTGCTCTTGCTCTATAATCTATAAGCTTTGTAGATGGGTATGAATATGACATATCACCAAACAGTTGTTTATTTGTACATCCAGATGATACAGAGCAGCATTAGCTTTCATTTGAAGATGCATTTCTGTACACCGGATTAATGTAAGTCCACTACTCACTCTTCTTTTAGCTCCTCTGTGGTCTACAGCTCCTGGGGGAAATATCTGCCTCTTTATCTGCTTAACTCCACTGTTTTCAAAAGCCAGTTGTTCACAGCTTGCAGCTAAATTTTTGTTTTTGTCTCTGCCTACAGTGGATGAAAACAGCTCTAATATTAGCTGTAACCACAGTAACGATGATGTAATAAACCAAAACAATGAGCTCAAAGATGCTAAAATGTTTTGTAGCTGAAACGCATGGTTATTATTTGCAGGTTCATCTCCTTCGCGTTACACATAATCCTCTGAACCAGTGTTTATGTTTAAAATCACAACTTTTCAGAGCTAAAGATTCAGATGTGCAAATTACTGCAGTTCTTCTTTTGTCCACTTGAGGCTGACTGTAAAAGCGAGTCAGTCCCCATAGACTCCCATTTTAAAATGTCAGCAGAAACAAACCTGTTTACAGCCTGCTTTAAAATGTAGCTGTGTATGTAAGATTTCCTCCTTCATTCTTGTACAGGTATTTGTTTTTCTCAGTCACAAATTTGAACTTTGTTAAGGGTTTAAATAAGACGTTCTTGGATCATTGAAATGGTTCTCTCGAACACATTTGTGGTGTTCGTGCCTTCTGGTGAATTTCAAATGCAATAATCAGACAGATTATACAGCTTTTTGGGTGCTTAAGGGTATTTTCACACCAACAGTTTGTTTGCTTTGGACCAAAGCAGTTGATTAGTTTGTAATTTTGTAGCTTTCTCACAGCTTGGTTTCTTTTAATCCAGAGAAAACTACAAGCAAATTTCAAGTGAAAGAAAATGCGTCACTATGTGAGAATGTTGAGTCCACTTACTTGCTAGTTGTGTCTGGTGTGGGAGCAGCACACACAAACACAGGACAAAGATGCTGTGTTCTTGACTGGTGGATAACACAGAGACTTTATTTAACATTCATATTTATCTGGCCAATTTCATTCATTTTACGGGAAGTTGCTACATTTTACCCACACAGATGCAACACTGCTTTTATTAGTTACAGCAGCAGAAAATTAACCTTGTGGAGCTCATGAAAAGCTAAGCCACCATGATGGAATTTCAAAATCGTGACCTCTAGCTTCATAATCCTTGTCTTACCCTCCTGGACGATCTGCCCGGCACACTGTTAGCATTAGCTGTTATCTTTTCACTCCACTCTCTTGTCCAAATACACTCAAAAACCAAGGTGGTTGGAGCTCAAATTCTAAATGGTCGGGGCTTTACAAACTTATAGCCAAGCACAGTGGCTATTTTTTAAATAGCCCAGCCTTAAAAAACCTAGCTAACTACTGATGCACATGCACAACTACATAGGATAAAAATGAAATTACCTTAACACTTAATGAGATTTGAAGCTGTCCAAACATGCCTGTTTAACCCTCTTCATGTTCTTCTGTGAATACACTCGCTGATTGCTTTTGTATTTGATACAAAGTGCAGAGAGTTAACTGGAGTGAAGGAAAAGGATGGAAAACACAGTATATATATCTGGGAGGAAATGAAATCGTTCTCCCACACACTTTATGACAGTATCTCATATATTTTCTATCAGCTTGTTGCAGCTGCTCAGTGAAGCTTTGCATCACTTTTATTACCATGCACTCAGAATTCAGCCTGACACATAATGTCAGCTCCCAGAGAATTTAAAAATAATATTCTGCAGGTCTGAACAGTGAATCTGAAAACATTGGACCCACCTGTGGGCGTTGTGAGGTTTGAATTTGCTCATATCGGGTGCTGCTCCTCACGTTCCCTTTTGTTTAGAAAATGCCGCCATGATCAGATCATTTTGAGGGAAGGTTGCGTAGCTTCCCCCCGTGTTTTATTTATACTAGAATCGAATG